CCAATCGGATTGCATCAATCGCTTCTCAGATCTCTTTTCTGATTCTATTATTCTGTGACTGCTGAGTAGCCCATTGTCTTTTCTGTTAGAATCTCACATGCAGAAATAAAAAAGAACATATTGTTTTATTAAGATAAGAATTAAGGGGAAAATTTTAATTTTTCACAGGAAAGACAACGTGAAGTATCATAAAAGCATCAAATCGATAATGGATCTAACCTAAGAGAACTTTGTATTAATAATGAGGACTTACTCACACAAATATTTATCAAAAATCTACTGTGTGCCAAGCACCGTATTTGTTGCATGATGATGATGATGATGATGATGATGATGACAGTAATAGCAGCTAACATTTGTTGAGGACTTACAACCACACGAATGAGGTCGGTGTGGGCCCTGCCATCATGGAAACTTATGCGCCATCAGGAAAAGCAAACATGGAACCAATAATTCCAAATGTTATCAATGCTATGTGAAACTGCAGGGTACAATGGAAGTCAGTGAAGGCTTCTCGGAAGAAGTGACATTTAACAATTAGCTGCACGAAGGAAAAGTAAGCTGGAAGAGAAAGCATTCCAGGAAGAATGAAGACTGTGGGGAGGAGCGCTGATCAAGCAGAAAGAACCTTGGAAGCACTGAGAGGCCTGACTAAAACTGAGAGGATACAGGGAGAGCGGGGAGATGAGGCTGGAGAGAAGAAGGCAGGTGCAAGGTCGTGCTGGACGTTCGAGGCCACAGGCAGAGTTTCAACTTTATCCGAAGGGTAGTGGGGAGCCATTGACAGGTCTTAAGCAAGCGAGTGGCATGATCAGATGTGGGCTCTAAAGATGACTCTGACTGAATTGGAGGGTAAGAGAGGGTATGTGCAGAGAGCAGAAACGATAGTAGCTTAGACTCAAGAGGTGGCCGTATTGTCAAATATCTGAGTTAGAGTGGAGCCCCTGTCAGGCTAACAAAATGCTTTCTCCTATGGAGCCTGGTTATTCATGTTAATGCTTGAAGAACTTTTCATTCTCAAAACTTGAAAACTGTTTCCTTCACAAGCATTAGAGCCATGCAAGGCAGATATGGAGACCCATGAGCAAAAGGCAGCAGAAAAGCATGGAAAGGCGAAAACACCAAGGGCCAGTCCATTGGGATTCTGAGCCTGGATCTGCTGGCTCCTGACACTTTCCAGTGTCCAGGGAAGGAATGATGTACTGATGCATTTAGCAGAGAAAAGAGGCCCAGAATGCCTAGAAATAGATCATAGGCCATGAAAGTATTGCCACAGTGTAATGGGAGAAAATGGCCTTCTGAAAGGAATTATTTTCATATATGAGACAAAAGTGTTTTAATTACTGACCTAAAACCTTTTTACCTAAAACAGAGGGCTTAAGTTGAAAGCTTGAGTTGGAAGTTATATCTTTAGCTCCGTTTGTGTTAAGTGGGATGACAAAGCTCTCACCTCCCTCTCCGGTTCAAAGTTATCAGTCAATTATTCATCAAGCACTTTATTGAGCAACTAAGTCATTGTAATACAGTGGTTAAATAGTTTACACAGAGCTTCCATTTCACCAAAGAAGTTGGAAGTCTAGACACTAAACAATTACACAATGAAATTTTGTAATTACACAATGAAAAATGCAACTGTGCTAAGTTATATAAAAGAAAGTTATATAAAAGAAAGGTATGTGTACTATGAGTGCTTTATGAAAGGCGGACCTGGCACAGACAGCAAATTAGGGAAGGGATGACTGAACTGAGAGTTGAAGGATGAATAGAAGTTAAACAAGTGAAGAAAGGATGGAAGAATAGCAGTAAAATTAATTAATCTGATTAAGCAGTAAAATTAATTAATCATATATAGAGCACCCATCACATGCCAAGTGTCATAATCGGTAACTGTGATACACGAATGAAACTCGGTCTGCATGTCAGGGAAAAAGACATGGGCTGAATCTTGCTAATTACTAGCTGTGAGAATTTGATTGTTACTTTACCCAAGTCTCAGTGTCGAAATCTGTAAAATAATTGAAAATAACATCTATCTTGCAGGATTATTGTGAGAATTAGCAATGTGTAAAACCCCTAGCTCACTACCTGGCTCAGAAGTGGCAAATTTTGTAGTGACCAGACCAAAAGTCGATGTGACACAGTATCAGAAGCAGCGTTTGCAGTGGTGAAAAGTGCACTATTTTCAATCAGACTGTCTGGGTTAGAATCCCAGGTCCAAAGTTTACTAGTTCTGGACAAATGACAAACTTTTTAATCTTTAGTTTCTTCATCTAGAAAAGGAAGGTAATAGAAATATTTCATAAGTTTCTTGGAAGGACCTAAGGAGATAATACACGAGAAATGTGAAAGATTGTTAAATACCTAGACTACATATTATGTGTGTACAAGGTTCTGTATCAGGACAGCTGCATAAGCAGTAAATTATTTTTGTTTCTGTTTACCTGGATAGGATGGTGGAACTAGACAACTACAAAGACTTCCTATAGAAAGCCTTAATCTAGGCCTTAATAATAGGTGTTGGGCAGACAAAATGCTAATTAATTTGCTTTGCTCAAGCCATAGGGCTGCAGTTGGCTATTGTGAGAACTGCAAGAGGGTCTAAGGCTCTCTAAGGTCTAATGAGTTCCTTTTGATAAACTTCTTCTCTCCAGTGGCTGCCATGAGCTAAAAGTCACGATGATGTGTTCGATTAGGGCGGTGGCTTTGAAATCAGACAGACTTGGGATCTGCCCCAGTCCCTACTACTTCCAGCTGTGCGATTTTATCCAGTTACTTCACTTCTCTGAGCTTCAGTTTACTAATGTTTAAAAATGAAAGTAAGGATAGTGGCCTCTTTATGAAGCTGTTTTGAGAATTATCAGTAAACAGGATAATGCACGTGAAGCACTAAGCACCATGTTTGGCACATAATAAGTATTTAACAAATGTTAGCTGTTGCTGCTGTTGCTGAGGCCTCATTAAGGGTATTATGGCATAAAATGTTAGAATGTGTTCAGTGTCTGGAACAATTACATTAAACACAAGGTATGTCATATCACATCCTCAACAGTAGAGCAGCCAAAGAAATAGCGCAAACACCCAGGTGGAGAGTTTCTGTGTGGCAATGATCGCAGGCATTTCCCTTGGTGGCCCCAGGAGCTCTGAGAGCTATACAGTAGCTCCTAGTCAATGAATTTTGAATAAATTAACAAGTGATTTATTTTGCTGATTGCAAAATAAAGCTTTTTCTACTCAAAAACATGAGGCGTGTTTCTGTAGACAATGTATAAATAAATAAATATACCTGTAATTTCACCATGAGTAGGACGAGCATTGCTGATATCTTGATATAGTTCCTTCCAAGGTGTGTGTATCCACTCATATATGATATATGTAGGGGATCATAGCATTATAATAACAATGCATACTTAATCTTGATCATACCATACAAAGGCTTTGTCTCTATTTGTCATATGAGCATTGCCTTGTTTTATTAAATGTTTTGCATATTTAAATGTATTAAATATGTTTCACAAACAGTTATACATTGCATACCATTCTATAAGGATGTGCCATATAATTTATTTACTGCCATATTGTTAGACCTTTAGTGTGTGTCAAAACTAATTCATCTTCAAATATAAGTTGTTACCATATTCAGTGAGTTCTTAACCTTTTTGGGTTGTAAACAGCTTAAAAACCTAATTATTAAAAAAAAAACTGTGCTGTCTCCCTCATAGAAGAAAATTACAAACACCTATTTACATAAAATGTTGCTAATAATTTCAGGAGCTTTATAAACTCCATGAAGCCCATGTATGAATTCTTGTCCCCAGGGCTTCAGGTCAGAACTAGTGATATCAAATATGTTAACATGAAGCCAAAAAAAAAAAGCAAAAACTTTACTGTAACAATTGTGGAGAAGTCTAATCTACAAAATACAGCTTATTACAGGGTATAAGACTGTTTTCATAATATGGCCTCATCCTAGTTCACTCTAATATTTTAAATAATCTAAGTCTAGTTTCCACATTAACACTTCTCTACAACTTTCATGAAAAATTCTGTTTCATGTGCTCTATCTTGACTGCTGTCCTTAGTGACAGAAAGCCTCTGCAGGACCCCAGTGCACCACCTCCTCTCACAGCGAGGTCTGGCACCTGGAGAACTGTGACATTCCTATGACGGTCTACACCTGCTGCCCTCCCCCCCCCACCCCGGTTGCTCCTAATTGTCTTACATACTATTCCATTTGAACAAATATACAGCATGACTCAGCATTGGTTAATACAGTTACTTAAAGGAAAGAGATCATTTCATAATAACACCAAAAATAAATTCAACAGACTTAAAATATAGCACAGTAAGTCCTCATTTCATGACATCGATATGTTCTTGGAGCTGTGGCAAAATGACATATAACAAAACCAATTTTAGCACAGGCTAATTGATATAAACAAGAGTTAAGCTTCTACAGCATCTCATCAATGTTACAATGAAACGACATTATTCAAGGACCTGCTGTATAGCATAAAGACAGATAAACATAAAAGAGATGTGTTCACTGCTTTGGATCAGGTATATTTCAATCTCAGGATGCAAGGCTTTCAGTTAGCCTTTGTGTTTTTCTAACCAAGGAGGAGCACAATCTTTAATTCATTACCTTAACTGTAGACTTTGTCTGATATGCAATTTATAATAACGAGGCTGATTCTACATACCAATTTATACAGTTTCTAAAGAATTCTGATAGATTCTCACTATAAAGAAGAAAATTGTTTTGTATTTTCTATTTGTTGTTTCCTTCTGTTTGCTTCTGAAGATAGAACAATTACTGATGTGAAAGCTGGGATATGAAAGAGCATCTACCTATATCTACACATTTCTATGCGCATGTTTATGCCTCCATGTAGCATAGAATTCTACATTATTACATTCCAAAGAACTATGGAAAAGGAAATTTTTGAAAATAGTCCTAAGACCAATTTATATTAAAGACATTTCTGTTTTTTTCCCCATAGCTACATCATCCCTCCCAAGGTTTCCGCTTTGGAACTGTCCGGGAAAGTAGTGCTGAAGATTATGTGAGGCAAAGCTTCCCAGAGATGCATGAGTATATGAGAAGGTACAACGTACCGGCCACCCCTGATGGAGTGGAGTATCTGAAGTGAGTGTCAACCTCTTGAGTCCAAAAAGTTCTCTCTGAAATAAGTCATTTATCTACTGATGTAGTATTTGTTGGTTTTTGAAAAAGACAGCCAAATATACCCACTGTGGGTTCAGCGATACTGCTCACACCGTATGAGATCCAGGAGGCAGTATGGAATAGTGTGCATTTAATTATGTGACCTAGATTACTAGTTACTTGCATGGTCCCAAGTTAACAGTATCTTTGCTCAGAGTGCCAGTGGCCATTAGTGCAGCAGATGGTGAGGGAAGTAAATGTTGGCTTGACATCACTTGAGGAAACAATGGTGCAGAAATGATCAAACTCTCAGAGAATGTGGCCAGAGCATAAAGTGGCCCAAAGCAACCCCTTCCTTCACAGTGGCTCTCTAAGCCGACCTCTTAGACTGTCTCCTCTTGCCACAAGGAAGTAGAATTTATCTTAGAGATTTCCTGTAGGAAGGAAATAAGATAAAAAACAATGACCCCATGCCTGCATTTTTCTCATCCAAATTTATGAGAAGCAATCAAGAACAATCATGTTGCCATGGCAGATTATCAGACCCTGTGATTCAGTGAGGCTGAAAACAAAGGAAGATGATACATCTTCATGTGCCATCATGGTACATGAAGTCATGGATCTGCTCATCCAGTTGGCCTGAGAGAAGGGAAGGAATGACTCCTGATAAGCACCACACTACGCACCTGATAAGTGCGTAACCCTCTCCCTCCTGCCTGATGGTCTCAGGACAATGACATACATTCAAACCTCCAATCCCTAGAATTGTGCAGTTTCAGGAAACTGGTGTCTTTATAATCTTCCCAATGGAGAGTAGGACCTGCCACCTCAAATTCTTTTTTAAGAAAGAAGGGACATAAATAATTTTATGGGACATAAGGGCTCTGGGTTTCTCATGAGGTCCAGTCATAGGCCCCTAAACCAATTTTATGGAATTTTGACTACAGCCTAGACAGGAAGCCTCGTGCTCTCAGATTTGCAAAGTTACATATGGTGTTTAAGTACTATGAAATGGTACTTTAATTTTGCAAGAACATTAAAACATTAGAGTGCCTCTCTGCCAGAGGTTAGGCTTCCTTTGCCTCCCACCACTTCTTCAGGCAAATTCATGGCTGAGAGAGACAATAAGATATCAGGGTGACAGCAGTAGCTCCCAGCTAGATAGTAATGGCTGACTAACGAGGTTCTTCTGGCAGTGTGAAAGGGTGAAATGAGCCACTGCTACAGTCCCCCATTCCACTTCTCTCTGGATATGCATTCATTCTGGAGGCTTCACCTGAGAAGGCCCCCACACTCAGAGTTGGCCCCACACTAGCCTGGAGAGAAGAAATAGAAAAGCAGCCACAGATGAAGCAGCTGAGGCCCCAAAGAAGCAACCTGTCCCTGGTAACACAGCTAGGCAGTGTCAGAGTCAGGACTAGAATCAGGCCTCTAGAAGCCAACCACTCCTTCTGGCTAGCCTAGGAACCATAAGAGAAAAAAGCAGGTCCTTGGTATTCAAAGAATAGTCCATGTTCCAGTAGCATTCATATTCCAGTTAGCACCTGGGAGCTGGTGAGAAATGCACAGTCTCAGGCCCCATCCCACAGTCTGCATTTTAACAAGCTCCCCAGGTGATTCAATGATCGCGGTAAAATTGATATCTAGGCAGAGCTTATCATTAATGCCCCCTCACTTCTCATCTCGGCTTTTCTCCCCACTTTGGCCTAGGCACTGACTAAGCTCTTAGACACCACTCTAAGCAACCACAGTCCTCAGGTTACCCCCATGACTTCCCAGAGCTCTGAGCTGCAGGCCACAACTCTTGGAGTCATCTGTACAAGATGGGTTCCTGTGTTACACCTGCCTCTCCCCTCTCCTATCAAAATTCCCCTGGGCTTAGTCCTCCTTCCTTAAAGCCCTGCTTTCTGAGGTGATGGTTTCCCAATAAATTAATCCCTATTAAAGTATTAATTTCTTTTAGTATGTTTATATATGACTGTGTGTTTGTGTTTGATGAAATGAATGCTCAAAAAGACAGAGCATGAGTCTATAATGAGAGAAACAACTAGAGGCTCTGCCAACTCTAAGGATGATTCAGCCAGTGCAGAAGCTACTGATACCTGGATCACACCCAGCCACTTCCTCGCCAGTGAGTCCGGGCCCCATGGGAGTCTGAGCTGATTGCTTCTTGCCTGCCTACGCAATACAGACTTGTCATAGACTGCACTTTGCAGTCCAAAATCAGGAGTCGTTACTTAAGGATACCACTGAGAATGGACCTCAGGAATTACTTGCTAGAAAAACTGGGCCCCAATTTTTTTCTATTGTTATTGCAACCACAAATATCTGTGGAGTATTGGTAAATGGTAACGTATTGCTGTGTAGCCCCCAAGGTACATTCTGCTACTGCGGCAGTAAAACCTTGATTGAAGAAACATCTTTCAGTTCCATTTTTATTGCCGAGATTCCATTAAGGTTCCTCATCATCAGCTCCTGGGGACAATTATATCCCCAACCCTTTCCGAAGCTTCCCACAGCTGTGGAGCTAAGTGTTCTTCATTTTGGTTAAAGTTAAACCTAGGTCTCATTGTAACTTAAATCCTATACCCCATGGAAAAGGGAGTGTATTTTGAATTGGCTATTTTACGTCCTAGGAGAGTAGAAGGAAGAAGCAATGGTCATTGGCACCAAAAAGGGATGTTGACCTACTTACTGTGTGTCCACTTGTGCCCCAGAAAAAGCCATCCATGTAAAGATATACTTTCTGCCCGATGTTGAATCTTAGAGGTGTGTAGGAGTGTCTTCACTCTTAGATTTTGATGGGCCGTGGTCGTGCTTTCCTCCGAGTTTAGATGCCACCCCTGTATTCAATTCCAGCAGCTTCATGTTGGGCTCTAAATGAGGAATGACTGAGCCCAGATGAGATAGAGAAGAATTTTTCTCTTTTCCAAGCTGTTTGGACAATGCTGAGAGTCAGAAAGCCTTTCTTAAATGGAGGTATGTCCTACACCTTTCAAAAAGGATCTGAGGTGACTGAAAACAAGAGTCATTGCATACACCTTAAACCGTTGCGTTTGAAACTTCTCCCTCCTGGGGCTGAGGCATAGCCTTCCTCTGCATAGTCTCTGTGCCTAAGTCCAAAAATTGGGGAGAACACATGAAGGATGTACAAGGCATCTGTGGGCATCTTGATCCCAGGTCACAGCCAATTCACTGAACAGTCCAGGGACACTTCCTTAAATGATTCTGGCCTGAACTGCCTCCTGGGATGGGAGTGAAGCATGAGTCACTGGAGATAATAAATCAGATCACTAAGATCTATTACATACGCTTCCTACTCCATTGATTGAATGCTAACCTGCGGACTTGAAAGAGACCGTAACTCCCCTTTCTCCAGGAGTGCTAGATTTCTTATTTGCATTTTCTTATATCTACTTCTAAATGTGAAATAATGCCTGATCTCTGAAGGATATGATAGTGATCGTGACAGAAAGAAATAAGAATGTCCACATACTGGTTAATGAGCCCACCTGGCTCCAACACTTCCTAGCTGTGCAACCTGGATCAAGTTCCTTCAACCCTCTGAGCCTCAATTTCCTCATCTGTTAAAATGGAATAATACCACCCATCTCACAGTCATTATGGGTGACAAAATGTATTGCGAACAATAAATACAATGCCTAGCACAAAAATCTCACTCAGTTCATGTAAGAGAAATGACCCTTCCCATTCAATTCAGAGTCACTCCGGCTCTGTTGTTGGATTTAGCAGTAACGAACCCATGGGAGAGAGGTCACACTGTCTTACAAGCGGGGCTGTTTCCCCTGCTCTGTTCTCTACAGGTCAGTGAGATGTCAACAAGGCGGAGTCGGCACCCAGCTCGCTTGTGCTGCCCTTAGTGTCCAGGTTTCTGTCCCCTAAACAAAAGCCAGCTGTCAGGCTTCATACTTCCTGTCCATTAATGAATCATTTTTCTTTTTTCTTCTCTTGGTCTTAAATACAGGAATGATCCAGAGAAACTAGACGCCTTCATCATGGACAAAGCCCTTCTGGATTACGAAGTGTCAATAGATGCTGACTGCAAACTTCTTACCGTGGGGAAGCCATTTGCCATCGAAGGTATTAATCAGTCATTCTTAATTCACCGTTACTTAGGATGTGCTCATTTTGCCAACCTAGCAAGTCACAAATACCAAAGTCAGAGGCAAAATGCTATTCATCTTCCCTTGTTTTCATTTTCAACACATAAGCACTTAGCTATTAAGTTGCTGAAGTTAGGAATTTATTTTTCACCTACTCCACAAACTTTCTTTCCCCAACTGTTAGGAAAAAAAAAAACAAAAAAAACATTGTTGTTACCCAAACGATGATGCTTCAGATATCTGAAATTAGTGGCACCATGTATTAAATGGGGAGTCCAATTTGAAATTAATTTGTGTTTTCTTATGGCCAAACCTTAGTGAATCTGATGCAAAAATGCAAAAACTAGAATGATTGCATTTTACAACTGGAAGCAAACCCCAATATTGATCTAATCCAATCTACTCACTTTATACACAAGAAAGCCCAGAGACATTACATCAGTTTTTCATAATCACACAATTAGATGATAATACTGGAATTAGAATCCAAATCTCATGGTTCTTAAATAAATGTTTTTCCACTAGTTTGAAAATTAGTTGGAAAAAAAACTCTCATTCTATAGTTTAATAACCTTTAAGAGTCCTAAACAAAACCTTGTTTGGGACCTCAGGTCTGCCTTTCTCCCCACAGGCAGCAAATTTTTGCTTCCAACTTGATCAACCAGTCGATCAAACTTCAGGACCCAAAGGATGGCTTTGCCAATAGCTCCTTTCCTTCTGGACAGTAGTTGATATGTGGAGCTGATAGTTTGAACCAACAAATTTCATGTCTCCCAGTTCCCAGCCTCCCTTCTCTGACAGTATACACGTATTCTAGCTCTCAAGACAGCCATTTCTTGTCAGAAAACACTGACTTGAAACATCTCATGGGGGTGCTCAAGTTCTGTTTCCCAGAGATATGTACTTTCCTGTATGTTAACTGGTGTGTCAAGACTATTCTGATTCCAATTTCCCAACCATGGTTGGTCTCTGTCTCCCCTAAACACATCAGCAAATTTTATACTTGAGTCTTTGCTTGTGTGACAAATGAGAATGGAACAGCTGCTTCTTCAAATCAGAGATTGATTTGGAGAGAAATCAATCTCCTCTCCAAGCAAAGTGACCTCGACCTGAACCAGGGATAGAACTCAGGAAGAGAGAGATTTAACAGCAGTGGTCTTCTATTAAGACTGCAGTCTAAGATAGCAAAGGCACAAAGACGAAAGAAAAAAGCTTGAAAACCAAAAGAACATTCAGTAGATAACCACATTTTGATGTAACAATGGAAAAATTCCCATTTTTTCTGTCATCTGGAGATATGGGAGGGATGTTACATTTTTTCTGTCCCAGATTCACTGAATAATTAAGGTCCCTTCTGCCATTAGCAGCTACTAACCATGAATCACTGGTAGCGGGAGTAAAAATGAGGGACTCCATTTTCCGCCTTTGTCTTCAGGGGACAACCCTATCTTGCCAACAGGCAGTGGGGAGATGGCTCGTTTGCCTCTGCTAGACCCCAGTGCCAGATGCCACGCCGTTTACTTCCCACTGGTTTCCTGTTTACATTTCCATCTGTGCTCCTGGGATTTAGTGTCTTTCAGTTCCCATCATCTCCAGACACCACATTGTTTTCAAAGAGGATAAGCACAAAATGGCCCATGGAAGAACTCTCCTTGCAAGAGAGGAGAAAGACTACAGATTTGAACAGAGAAAACATTCTCATCATTGTTGTTTTTCTCTAAAACATGCCATTGCTGGTTTATTCTGGGTGAGGTGCAAATCAGAAAAGTTCATTCAATCCTGCGCATGCCAACAAGCCTACAACCTAAAAAACAGAACTTGATAAAACACAAAGGGAGGTTACTTATAAGTTACAAACGACAATGTCATAGAGATACTATTAAAAGTCTCAATTGCAGCTTTTTTTAAAAAAAAATCTTAATCTCAGAGACTTTTAAGGAATCTTTCTCTCAATTAATTTTTTTAAATATGATATTTTTTCCTTTAATAACAATTAGGTTTCTTGAACTTATGAAAATGTGGACTTTATTGTTGACTAATTAGACTTTATAGGCATAAAAACATCATCAAAGCAACTTATGAACACTTCTTCCTCCTTACAGGAATGCTTCATATGTCTAGCTGTATCCTTTCCACAAGGTCTAATGCGATGTTAGGCATAGAACAGTTATGTAAAATGATATATTACCTATTATATAATTCATTAGGTTAGATTTGAAATAAGTACGCCGTTCATTGACTAATGTTCATCAAAAGTACCCTGCTCGTCTGCTTATACGTTCCCAAGTGCTTAAATGACTTCGGGAACTTAGGAGGGAAAATGGAGTCCATTGATTCCTTCATGCTCAATATACATTCACTCTATACAGTATTGATAAAACACCAACTCAGTGTGACTACTGAATACCCCTCCCAGCTTCACCATTCTGCATTTATTTAGGCTTAAGAGACAAAAGATAAGGCAAATGAGAGACAGTGGCTCCATGTTGAGTTTGAAACCTTTTTCATGAGTACTTAGCACAGCAAACCAAACCTATTAAGAATTCAGTAGCATGTGGGAAGTCTTTGGCCATATTAAATACTATATACACCAGGGGCACAACGACATATTGCGTGCACTGGGAAAAAAAAGAAAGTGCTGAGATAAATGAATACATGTCCCAAATTTATGCATCGAAGTTAGCTGACAATAAAGGTCAAATGAGAAGAAAGTAATGGACCTGCACAGTAATGATTTGTGACCTTTCTGCCAAAGGCCTCTGCCTTTTTTTGAGTTTGTTCTTTTACTTGTTTTTCAGTAATTATGTAATACAATGCTTGGAGCACTAGCTGTGGAGCCTGAGTGTCGGGGTTAGCATAGAGTTGCTGTTACTGTGCTACATGGGGCAAGTCACTTAATCTGTCCTTCAGAATCCTTATCTGCATAGTGGATTTATGAATAATACATTTATGATAGAGTCGTTATAAAGATTAAGTAAAATAATACATGTAAAGCATGTGCAAGCACATAGTAAGTGCCCAACAAATTATTATTCAGTATATTGACTTAATAGATTGAGACCAATTCACTGTAAAATTATCCCAGGATAGATAGCCTTTATATAGCTCAGCTTCTCCTACATACTTCTGTCTATACTTTGACGTGCTGAGAGTAAAGGAAACCCATTTCATTTTTAATGTCTCCTTTGTGATTGGGACTGCTACAATATGTACTTAACCTTTGCCCCAGAGTAGCTAGCTACATACAGTATTCGGACACAGACTACAAAACTGGATTAGCCTTTCTTCTTGAAGACTTTTTTAATGCTATCCGAGATCTTATTTTCAAAATATCTATTTTCCAACCACACTTTAGGAAGTTCTTTTAGTCTATGAATTTCTAACTATATATTTGCTGGCCAAAATATATTTCCACCACTCTTGGCTGAGTAAAGCTGATTTATCCATGGGGAAAAGATCAGGATTCTATTCTGAAAATTGTTCTCTTGGGCTATTAAGCTGTATCCAATTTCCAGGGTGCCTGATGCCTTCATCTTTAGGGTTGAAGGATTCCATTTTGCTTCATCCATCAGCCACAGAATAGTCAACCTCGTCTTTATTGCAGAGCCATGTTTCTAATGATAATGAAAGCAATTCAGATGAGTCAGCAATTTAAAAATAAGAAATCTTTGACCAATGAACACAACCAAGTTTGAAAAGCAACTGATAAAGAGATGGATAGAAATGAAATCTTCAAGGTTTTACTATTTTATGTTTCCGAGTAAAATGGAGTTTTATGTTTTTTAACAAATACCTCTTTTCATCGCCACATAACTTTTTTATTTCTCTCCCTTTGTTCCATATACATAGTTTCTTTAATTAGTTAATAATTATTATTATTAATGCTAAAAATCATTAAAATGTCAATACTCAATATATGCATTAAAATTGAAAATTAAAAAGGACAGTAATCTATTTTTAGCAGTCAATTACAAATTAAAGTTGACATGATGGAGTAGAGTGATTTAATATTTATTATTTCCTATGTAGCAATTTTTTATAAATGTCTCTGCAACTTCAACATAGCTTTTTCTCTAAGGCAATTTTAATACTTTTGTTGTAGTGCCAAAATTCTATTCTTAGAATATGTAGATTTATTATAAGTATTAATTTCAGATTTTTTAACTTTTCTATCATGTATTTTTGTCTCATCTGCCCAAAATACCACTCTCGAGAATCAATCTAAGATGTCTTCTCTCACCCTCTCATCTGGTATTAATCTGTCATCCCTCTGAAATCCACAGTTTTAGGCATCCTCCTCATTGCATCCTAGTCATTATATTTTACCTTGATTGAATTTATGCCTCACCTAGCTTTTATCCCAAGGAAAGTCCTGTAACTTCCCACCATGTTGTGTGTTTATTTATGGATGTCTCCTCTCCCCCGTGCCACCATGAGCTTTTTATGGATAGAATTGGTGTCTGATTTAACTTGGCACTTGGCAGAGTATCTGGTACTGAATAAGCATTTAATACATGTTTGTGGAATTAATGAATAGATGGATAGGTGTGCAACAAATGCTTATCAAGTGAAACGTAAAAACAAGTCTGCCATTATTACACTAATGTGGGCTGAAATAATTTAAGAGGATTTTTAGGAGGAATAATATAGTTAGGGAGCAACCTTGCTAATTGATTTCTTCATGTACATATGGAATATGTTTGTGTGTACAGTTAAGGCTGTACTTACACTGTATTTACACAACTTAATGAAAAGTTTATAAACACAGTCTACCCATGGATAATACATATTTGTGTCTACTGCTGAAAACAAACCACTGGTTTAGATGATTGTGGATTTTTTTTTTTTTTTAGATTTTTTTTATTGGGGAATTAGGGGAGGGAACAGCATGGAGGAGTCAGGGAAGGGGAGCAGACAAGTTGCTGTCCTTTTGTTCTTCAGTCTAGTTGTGGAGGACGTCACTTCACTGGCCC